TCAATGGATTGCCCATACATGCTTACGGCCACCACTTCCTTGGGGAAGATTGGCAAGGCAGACCCAGAAGCCGTGTTGCCAGCGATGGAGAAGGCTTTGACGTCTGACAATTGGCCCCTTGCATTGTGCTGCAACAAGCAATGCAACTGAGGCCTCCAAAGAGCTCATTGATGCAAAGGCAGACGTTAATGCAACCAGCAGATTTTTGCAGCCTTGCATTCAGCTGCCTACTTTTGCTCTCCAGGAGTTGCGAAGTTATTGTTGGCTGCTGGAGCTTTTGTCGATATCCGAAACCAGGACGGAAGGACACCTCTCATTGAGGCAGCAAACTCCGGCTGTGCGGCTGTTGCCACCATTCTTATAAGTTTTGGTGCAGATGTGGAAGTGGCGGATGTGCCTGATGGGCGCAGGGCAATGCACTGGGCCGCAGAGAGGGGATCAACAGCAGTTATGAAAATTCTACTCAAAGCAGGTGCCAGGCCAGATAGCCGATAGCCGTTTGCACGAAGCAGGATGCTCAGGATGCGTGGGTAGCACACCCCTACACCGGGCAGCAAATGCCGATAAGCTGGAAGCAGTACGTCTCCTTCTGCATGAGCACTGTCGAGTTGACTCAGTGGACAATGCCTGGCGGACACCACTTCATTATGCGTCAGCCTCTGGTCATCTGGAAATGGCCAAGTTTCTTGTAAGCGCCGGAGCAACTCCCTCTTTGCAGGGATTTGATGGCAGGACCGCGAAGGAGCTGGCTCTGGCACGTGGGAAGAACGATGTCGCTAAGTACTTGGCTGCCTACGACTTGAGCCCAATGGGCAGAGCGACCCGTGCTACGCGGAGCGTTTGGGCCTGGCTATCCGTGGCCGTGGCAATCATTTCTTCTTGGGCGCTTGCTCCTTTCTTTGCAAGAACAGCGGGAACACTGGACGCGGAACTGTCCCCCGCTGCACAGCTGTTGGCGTCCACCTCTAGCGTGCCAGCAGGATGGAATTTTTATGCTTATCTATTGGTGGTTGACAGTTGTGGCCAACATTGCCTTGGTCGACCTCTTGATGGCACGAGACTTAGCATGTTCATCTCAGATTGCTAAATCATGTTAGTTCGAGGGCCTGTGTGGTCTGCCCTCCTGTTGAGGTGTGAGGCTGTGTAAGACGAGGTTGAGCTTTACAGTTTCAGGCTTTCAGGAAGGGCAGCTGAGTGGTCAAACAATTAATTGTTTGAGGCTTGCAGATTGAACGATTTAGTTTCGAAGGTGACTGTGTATCCTCTGTGCTGGTGCTCCATTGCGCTGCTGGCATACGCTGGCCCTGCAGCTTGCCAATATGGAAGGCGCATTCTCCGGGAATTGCCAGTTATTGCCTGCATGGCAGGCATCCACTTGCTGAAGATTCAATATGCGGGAACCCTTGCTCGGCTGAGCATTCTTCTCTTGGCTTCTCGGCCCTTCCTGTTTTTTGCATTTTCTCAATGGGTTACGTGGAACCAGTGGCAGTGGCGTCCTGAATCGTGGGACCCTCAATATTGGAGCAACTCCGTGTCCTCGGCTTTCAACATGTCGTGTCTTGGATGGATGCTATCACCGGCCTGGCTGCACAACTACCAAGGAACTGAAGTCCTGTATGGAACTTGGCCTCTGCTTCGAGGAATACCCCAAGTGCCTGACGACTTCGTGTCTGGCACTTATAAATCCTATGTGGATGCTCGCGGATACGGGCTTGAGTCAGTATGAACTGAAACACTTGAAGCTCTGTGCAGGGGATGGGGGGGGGGCCAGGGGGGTGCGGAAAATGCCCAACAAAAAACATATCAGGCGCAACACGTCTGCTCGCTCTGGCAAATGCTGCATTTTCCGTCACACCAGCGGGCGCCTCTTTGGGGACACCTTCTTGAATCCGTCTGACTCCTCACTGGAAGATGCACTTTCACGAGTATCACTCCACTCAACCTCCTCATCGGCTTTGCAGCAGTCCAGTTTCTCAAGCAAGTAGCCAGCGATGAAATAGCTGCTCATGAAGATACTTGCAACCCCGGGCCATGCAGTGGAGCCGTTGTGAGAAGAGAAGGGCGCTTTGTAGATGTTCAGCAAGAACATCGCAACATCTGTGACGCCTCGCTTGTGGTCCATGAGGTGACAGAACCAGGCCGTGGGAATTCCGAGCTCTGCTGAGTGAGTTCTTTCTTCTATCGGGCTTAACGGTCCGCCTCCTGCAAAGACCACATGCAAAAGCAGCATCTCGAAAAAGAGCAAAAACACATGCAAAGATGTAGTCCTCAGTTCCCATTCGAACGGCCCACTGGTACATGTTGAGGAGATTGCTTCCGTTTGTCTTTCACAGAGCCCTCTGACATCGCAACTTCATCGATCTCTGCTGCTAGGCTGGCCACAAGCTGAGCCTCGAGCCTTGAGCCTCAAGCTAAGCCTCGACCCTCGCCTTACTGTGGATCACGCGGCCCCAGCATGCAAGGAGCAGGACGAACAACGTTGCTCCCCAAGCGAGCGATGCCGGAAGGATGGCAAAAACCAAAACATTCATGGCCGCTGCTCGGCTCAGAGGCTGCTGCAGCGTTGGCCTCAGAATGCCATCTTGGAGTACCATGCGGACCGCCTCTCTGTAGCCAATGCTTCTCAAAAGCGCCTGGCTCTCTGGGGCATACGAGTGTACTGGTGGCAGTCTGGATCTCGATGCCCTTTTGTATTTCTGCGCGATAAGGTGTTCTGTGAGTGCCAGAAGGTGTGTGCAGGATAGCATGCGCTGAAATCAATGCAGTGCCAGCTTTGGCCAAACCCCTCCACATCTAGCGCTGAAGACTTGAAAGGCTATGCTGACAACCCTTGGGGTCTGTCCGTTTATATAGTACTCGCATCGCGATATTTCATGCAGGATGGACCAAAAGCTGGTTTTTCAGAATGTTCAAGCAGGCATGTTTCCCGCAGTCTCCATAGGGACTTCGTCAGATCATCTTCAGTGATCAGGGCTGTGAACCTGCGAGTGGTGGAGGAGGAACTGGCATTCAGCAAAGAATCCTTCCTGTCATATACCCACATCACGGTTTCCAAATCGTTCACCTGGAGCCTTTGTGCCAACTCCATGTTCAGCGGCTTTATGTACCCTGAAATTCGAAGGAGGATTTTCTATGCACAGCTACAGTGATGTAAGCATCTAGAAAGAACATGGACAAATCTTGACAGCTACATAAACCCAAGGCCTCCATGAATGCCGCGCGTTGGACGCCGTTCTTGCGCACGCGGAAGCCATTCGGGCTCCGCCGCTTC